AAAAAAAAATTGAATGCCAAGAATAGTGGAAACCGCGATAAAGAAACGTGGATTCTTCGACGAGATGAAGATGTATTTTATTATTCTTTTCTTTCTTGATTTCCAAAATATTCCATATAATATATGGATTTCTAAAATATTCATACGATAGTCTTTTCTTGGTACATGCACCTCTGAACGAGAAAACATTCATTCGCATTTTTCAACGATTATTTCATTTTTCTTTTTTCTTTTTTTTAGACTTTAATGCAAATGTAGTAAGTGTCCTAATGCTTATGGGCGTGAGTGTAACTCATCGTTAATCTTTTAGGCGATTTGCAATTTTTTGATGAGGAGCGATCACGTGACACGAATTAACATCCTCTCGGCGGGATGTTTGAAATGACAGTCGCATGTAAGGAATATTATTTATTAAAATGTTATAGAAGTCTTACAAATAATTGTACAATTTTATTATTATACCATGATAAAGAAACATGGCGGATTCTTTCGGCGAAAAGAAAGCTAATCTAACCTAAACATTTTTTCATTTTTTGGTAAGATTTTCAGAATATTTATGCAGTGTTCTTTGTTCGTTCATTTCCTCTTTTTTTGGAACTTTAATGTAAATGCAGTGAATGTGCTGAGACCTATCAGCGAGAATGTAATTTATCATTGTTAACCTTTAAGGCGATTTGCAACTTTTCCACAGTGAAATAATCACATGACACGAATTACGCGAGTTGACATCTTTCCGGCGGGATGTTTGAAATGAAAGTTGCGTGTAAGAAATATTATTTATTAAAATTACCATATTGTAAAAGTTTTATAAATAATTGTACAATTTTGTTATTGTACTATTTTAATTTGTTTATTGTAATTTTATTAATGTACTATAATAACCCAATATGACTGATTTCAGATTTTACAAGTATAGTCTTCTTATGTTAAAGTTAATATTAATTTTTGTGTGGACAGAAACATAATTGCATCTATATATTTTAATTATGATTTACATAATGATTTATATGTAGAATATTTTGATACGGTTGTTCCAGTATTTTTAACCTAACCTAACCTCTCAGCCACGACGAGATTTTTCGCGGAGCTATATCTTTGTACGACGAGATCTGATGAAATTGATTTACATTCAGCGGACATTTAAGTACGTTAGAATAAACTTTGAATAAATTAAAATTTGTGGTGTATTGTTCAAAACGATACCATACGTAAAAGCCACTATAGCGACATTCAGTGAGCTAAGAGGTCAGTAGAGAGGTAACTGATATTTTCATTTATTTATTTATATTAACAGTAAAACTAGCAAAATGGTCAAAGTAACCGATTGATAATTTTTAGATATTTTATAGATACAGAAGATACAATATTTTCATACTATACTATTATAAGATACTATATACTATTTTATAGATATACAGAAGATACAAAAGATACTATATTGTTAGATATTTGCTAGATACAGAACAGTGTACTTTTAGAGATCTAAATGATTCTTCATGCATAGAAGTTTGTATATCCTACAGGGTATCATAAAGATCTTCTGTTTCTTTTACTTTCATGTCTTTGATGGAAATTGTATGCCTCAGTCGCCGGTAGTTCCAGTGTTAACATAATTACTTTTTTGGCATGTAATCAAAGTCAAGTGTACGCTCGCCGTGAAAGTGTCAAGAGGCGGGGAAAGAATCGACAAGGTACCTTATCATTGACAGGCTGCTGGCTGTTGGCTCCACCTTTCATCGGGGTACCATGGGCATTTCCGTTCTCCTGGCCAGGCTTTGGCGACGAGCTGGCGTGTCGATTCGTCGAGTTGGCGGTGGATTTCAGCAACGGGCTAGAACTGGAGTCGTGGTCGACGGCGGACTGCGCGTTGCTCGTCTCACATCCCGGCAACGGGGGACCCGTTTGTCCAGGTGTCGGAGTGATGGGCTTCCCGCCTTTGATCAATTCCACTATCTCGTCGGCTTCCCTCGAAAGATCGCCGTCTGGTCGGAACGGATTATCCCAGCCGCTGTCCGTACTGAAAAATTCATTTCTCTCATTAGTGTAATCGCTGGAACAGACCAGGGCTTCTCAAAGTAGGAATTTTAGCAAAGGTAAACAATTCTGAAAATTAATTCAAAACCGCGTTTGGCGCTGAAGCGTTCGAATAAATTTTCTTTATGATTTATTATCAGCAAATTCGTATTCCTTTATACCAGTGGTTCCCATCCTCTCTCCAAAATCCTGCTGAAAAACGTACCCCGGTGACGCATAATTCTGATTATTCAAAAAATAAATTTTTCAAATAAAGGAAGCCTTTATTGACTTTGAAAGTGTGAACAAGTTTCCAAAGAACGTGACATCCACGAAAGAAGAAAAAATTGGATTGTTAAATTTTCATTTAAAGGAATGCAAAAAACTCACTGTTAACCCTCTTAATTGGGTAAAACGAAATATTTCGTCATACCAGGAAGATAACTGCATGACGACACTTCTCGTCGTGACAATTTTAAAAGTAACGTGTGATAATATTTTATTGAAGTCTAAATGGAATTTATATATTTGTTCAATATGTCGCAGAATATTTTGTCAAAATAAATGGCCAAAAACGATTTCCTTTTTTTTTAATACTTTAATACTTCTAAACTTCTCACTGCGAAGGAAAAAAATCCCCAAACTATTTCTATGTGAATCAAAATTAATTTCCCTGTTAAGAGGTTAATAACTCATTCTCGAATTGCCCCCCCAGAAAATCAAATTGGTTGGGAACCACTGCTCTGTAGTCAGGGTCGTGAAAATATTTGCTCGGGTAAAGGGGGTCGTCGCCAAGTGGAAAAGTTCGAGAAGCCCCAAACTAGACGACGACGGTGACGACGACTGTACACCATTTCCGGATGCTAAATTACACCGAATCAACTCGTCGTCGCGTAGCTAATCGTTTTCACGGTGGAACGAAAATATCTACCTCTGGAGGCAGCTTCCTAGCCGTATCAAGTTCTGCGATAACAAGGCTCGCATATATTTTTGTCTGTTAACCCTTCTTATGCAACGTCGCCGCAAATTAGCTTTAATTATAATCGCCACTGCTGATTAACCGTGACATTGTCCATGGTATCGGATTGCACGGTATAATTGCAGCCCATCTATTTCCTCCCCCCCTTGCTCATGTGCACGTGTAACTGCAGACGTGCTGCTACACGCGATCGTTCGTTCTCGTTCGTTTTGCGTTTCATCGATCTCGCGATCTCTCCGACCTTTGTTTTCAAGTGATTCAACCGACGATGCACTTTTCGACAATAAGAACAAACGTTCGAATCATCTTTTTAACACTTAACCGGTCGGTAACACGTTGACGTGTTTTGTCTCTTACCGACTGGTGGTAATCATTAAATAATTGACATTAACTTTGATGCTTTTTCGAGATTCTCTGAAAATTTTGTGAAAAAGTAATGTCTTTTGCGAGAAATACACTAGTTTTCTTAGAAAAAGAAAAAAAAAAATACAGCAAAATTTGCTGGCTGATAAATCTACACTTAAAATCTGCTCTGAAGGGTTAAGGGAGAGAAACAAATTTTAAGGTTAAGATTTTAATCCATTCACGCGGCAGTCATTGTGTATATTTTCTGGACACAATGCACTTGGGCAATGCAGCGTAGAAATGATTCAAAAAACATTGAAAAGCTGACTAAATGATATGGTGGTATGGTAGTAATAATAAATTTTCTAAGAAAAAAAAAAACTTTTTCACTAAACAAACAAAAGATTGTATATATATATATGTATTAATCTTCGGAAAACACAAGTCTAAAAACGTTTTTTCTTTGAAAAAAAATCCGTTCATCGCTATCGCTACATTTTTCAAAATTATTTCTGCGTTCGCCTATGCTTAATATCAAACAAAATTATTTCGCAATTAATTAAAACGGTGAAACTGTTTCGTAATTACATAGAATAATTATTATTCGAAATCCCGACTATTAACTTGCACAACTCAATGCATATGGGGTCGAAGAAGAGAGAGAAGAAAAAAAAAGAAGAAGATAAAGAGGACGAATATACCTAACAAGTCAAGATCGTACGGAGTGGAGAGAAAGGAGTGAAAAAAAGAAAGAGAGAAGTAAAAGAGAAGTAAAATTCGTTCGGTAAAATGGTTAGTAGGCTGAACGGAACCGTTGGACCACAGCCAACGGGACTAATAATGTCCGATATTGCGAAACTGAGCGCTTCTCCTTGCCGCCATTAATCTCCGCTGATTCCGTTCGATCTGGATCCGCAGTTCCGTCCTCGTGACACCGGCAACGCGAAAAGTCGTGGATTTACGTCGACGACAAACGAAGCCATACACATCATGTTCAATACACAACAGTATAAGGGGGAGAGCAGTATTTGTCACGTTATCAACAAGTTGATCACGAACCAATCACCATGCGTTCGAGGGTTCCTTTGAGAATAATATAACCCGCACGTAAAATATCTGGATCAGATTATTTTTTTTTTTTTTTTTTTTTTTTTAAACGTTAAACAACGTGGACAGGCGTGAATTTGGCGAACGTACAGGGGAGCGGGAGAAATCGTCGAGTTGTTTATTTTTTCCACCTGTCGCCGACGCGCGCTACCTGTGCAACGTGTTTGCAACAACCGAACGTGTGTGACGCAGTACGACGTACAACGGAATCTTGGTTTTTGGCCTAAAGTACACTGAAGCCTTGGGAAAGTTGGTGTTTCATGGGGTTCGACGAGTGAACGACGATTACCTTTCGTTGCCATCCGTCTCCTTGGGCACCTTGATCACGTAATACACGTGGCCTCCATGAGTGGTCGTCATTTTGCCCGCGATCGCGAATTCACGCCGCTCGATATCAACATCGGAGACACTCGACGACCAAGCAGCAGTTCACCAGATCTCCCGATATATTTGCCGCGGCTAGTTATTACACATGGATGGTGTAACGATCGCGATAACCACTCATAGAACTGTCCATTTCTCTCCTCGTCCTCGTCACTGGCCCTGATGTTTGCCCTACCGGTAAGGTAGTAGCGAGCACTTCCTCCACCCTGTCACACCGAGAGAACTCTTCTGTGATTTCGCACGGAGGCCGACCCCGGCGCGTAACGCTTTATTTTTAAGCGGATTCGTGGCGGGAGATCTCGCAACCACCCGCCGCCGACTCTCTTTCTCTCCCCCACGTTCTCTCGTCCTCTCCTCCCTGTCTTCCCCTACCGTCAGTCGAGCTTCGCCGCCACCCCTCTCTTTTCACTTCCGTTTATCACGACGCAATGCTCGCTGTTATTTCGAGAAAGTATCCGTCACGATTTCCGATATTGCAAACTCGGGACAACTGTAACTCGATCCCGGGATAAACTCGGGGGATGACGAGATCCCTCGAAAACCGAGAGTGTGTCACCGTTCTTTCTCCGTTCGAGGTGAAAAAAAAAGCTCGTGAAAAGCGATACCAACGAAGGCTGTCCCGCTGTCAGAACGACGAATTAACCCTTTCGATATGGCATTTCATTTTTGGCCACTGTGCCCCCTCCCGTTGAACGCGACGATTTCATCGCGAACACGCTGCCCACTGACAATTACCACGCGAATGCTATTTTAATTACGCACCGGATATAAGGAGCGTAACAGCGAAATTTTTCCGTGCACGTAAAGGACAAATCATACTTCAACGCGTTTTATAAGTAACGCTTTGTTTTTATTGGGTGTACTTAGGGGTACCCACAAGTACCCCCAAGTATCTATAATATAATTCAACAATAAGCACACTGAATGTCAATATATATTCAAATAGAATACGAGTTATGTTATAATAAGTTGAATTATTGCCACTCGATGGCAATGTTTATTAAGTTCGAAGAAAACGACATTACTCGTGGGTAACCCTAATAAAATTGTTCAATAATATAATTTTGTCTATTATGGTAATAGCAACATAAAATTGTCTAAATGTTCGAAATTTTAACATTTTACCCTCTTTCAATTTTTCACCCCCCCCCCCCAATGTCACGTGTATTTGTTAGATTTTGAAAGAACAGGACTAGTATAATAATTATCGACGGTCGATAATTATGGACGACTATAATGTAGATAAAGATGACTACGCTATAGACTGTAATAGCGAGCGTTCAACGATGGACGATAATTATGGACGACTATAATATAGACGAATATATATAGACTATAGATTTTAGTATAAAGATGACTATGCTATAGACTGTAATAGCGAATGTTCAACAATGAACAACTATATTCGAATAACGGACTATAATTATGGACGACTATAATATAGATGATTATAGACTATAGATTATAGTATATAGATGACTATACTATAGACTGTAACAGCGAGTGTTCAACAATGAATGACTATAATATAGACTATAGATTATAGACTATAGATTATAGTATATAGATGACTATACTACAGACTGTAATAGCGAGTGTTCAACAATGGACGACTATAATATAGACGATTATAGACTATAGATTATAGTATATAGATGACTATACTATAGACGGTAACAACGAGTGTTCACCAATGGATGACTATAATATAGACTATAGATTATAGACTATAGATTATAGTATATAGATGACTATACTATAGACTGTAATAGCGAGCGTTCAACGATGGATGACTATACTCGTCGTTAGTATCGAAATATTGAATACACCGAGGGCCAAGACGCAGTCGGAGTTTCGTCAAGGATCGCGACGAAAACGCGTAAACCGTAAGGCTGTCCACATCGATCGGACTTGGTCGAAGCCGACCTATTTCCTCGCTACCGAGTCCTCGACCTATTTGCACGCTACGGTTCCCGTGTTGTCTCTCGTCGT